CTGAAACTATTATTGATGTGGATGGCACTATTTTAACGTGTGCCCATGTTGTGGCTGATTTTCAGAGCATGCGCCCTTCTTCTAAGGCGAAGGTCAGTGGTTACTTGTCCATTGGAATGCCAAGGTCTAAATAGTCATTTGAACACTGTCCTTGATGATGCATTTGTAGTTTTCACTTAGAACCATCCTGCCATATGAATATTGTCATATCTAAACTCTAAGTTTATGTAAATCCTGGGAAAATTCTCTTGGAATGGTCATGTTGCTGAGATTGCAGTGATGCAAACTCTAGTCAATTTCAGAATTACTTATAATCCATGCTTGGTTTTGCATACACATCTATCCTTGTTTAGCTCTGTTTTATTAAAAAAAAAAAAGCATGCTAATGGAAAGATATTGTTAGATGACATTTGACATGCTGTAGCATGTCTAGTTACACTTAGCCAATCAATTCCTATTTTTAGTTAGTAATCTTTGAAAACTTCATTTGTGAGAACTGAGAAATCATTTAAATACTATTAGATTTTTTTTTATGAGAATTACCCTTCACAGCTTTGAAAACCTCTTTGTGGCTTTGATGTATGGTTACTGTCACAGCTGGTGTTGTAAGGTATTGACTTTTTTCCAGCATTTTGAAGTCATTCTTCCATTTCTAATTCTATTACCCTTTCTATTCTCAGTAGTCAATTTATGGTTATGCTCAGTATAAATGGAACTTTGTTGACTATTATAAACTTGCTAAAACTGAGAAAAAGAACAACTTTGATATGGAGGTTCATCACAGATGGCTAATGCTGTTTCTCTTCCTGCACTTTTTTCCTTGTATGGTTGTGTTGATCGCAAAAACAGTGACTTGGGCCCTGGAGGGTTGCACAGGGAGTATCTACAAACAGATTGTCCAATCAATCCTTAACTCTCTCACTCTCTATCAGCAAACATCAATTTTTAACACTCTGCAAATCATTGTAACTGTGTGAATCCTTTGCGTTTTGTGGTTATGATTTTAGGCATTGATTAACAGTGTTAAAATGCTTGTCATACAACCTTTTTCCCTTGTTAGTGCAATATGCCCCCTGTAAGGATTAAAGAGGATCTTATGTAAAGGAGATTGTTAACCAAACTGGTGTAAACCAACATCCAAAACCTTAATTCTAGAGTTAAGTTCAGGGGTTCAAGTCACTACAATAACTAACCAGTAACATTTTTTCCAGTAAAAAATTATAAACTAGAAGAAGATGTGCTGGTATTATTGCATCTTTGTTATGGATTTTTATCTGTGTTTGGGCATATTACCAAATTTCTCACATGAAAGGCTTACTTAGACAAAACTATTTGGTTTTAGTAATATTGAAGTTAGCAGCTAACGGTGGACTATCATTAATGGATATTCTTTTCTTTTTGCCCTCTTGGTGTAAGGAAATTCAGGTGGTCCTCTTGTTAATGTTGGCGGAGAAATTGTTGGCATCAATATAATGAAAGTCATAATAGCAGATGGGTTGAGTTTTGCGGTACCTATTGACTCGGTTATCAAAATCATAGAGCACTTCAAGAAGAGTGGGTATATTCTGATTTTCTGTGTGGAACTATTTAGGTGCCTAGATACAAATGCATTGCATACATATATGATATGATATTCAGAGCATTTTTGGTTGATGGAATGGTTATTCCTTGGTCAAAATATAAAATAAGGTAAATTAGATGGAGAGCGTAGCAAATTAGGAATGCCAATTCCATGCTTTTACAACTCTTCTTCAAGTAAGTTGGAAGGAGGAAGAAATGGCTAATCATGTCTCCCCCAAGGTTTCATCTATTTCTTCTTCACACTCCTTAGAAGAAAAAATTGGTGCAAGCATGGAATAGCTGCTCCTAATGTGTTGTCCTCTCTATCTAATTTACCTTACTGAAGGAAGATAACTATTTTGATGAACATTTTGAAAATTTATTACCTTTAAGAACATATTTGAAAATTATGTTGTGATGGTGGGTTGTTTAGGGGTGATGGTGAAACTTGAAGGTCTTAAATCAGCTAGCATATTGAGATATAAAATTGTTAATATTGAAAAATTTACACGTATTCGAAGGTTTTTATTTACCATCAGATCATCCATAAAGTGAGATGTCAAACCACAGAAGGCCATGTTGTAGAGGAGAGTCGTTCGGCCTTGGCTTGGATTTAAAATGCTTGATCTTAATGACATGATCATTGCTCAACTTAAAGAGAGAGATGTCACATTTTCTAATGTCAAAAAAGGTGTCCTCGTAGCTATGGTATGTTTTCTTCCCATTTTGTTGTGTTTCTGACTTTCTGTATATGCCAGCTATATGGTATTAATGATCTTGTTCCTGACCATTTCAATATATACAGGAGTCTTTGTGCCTTGTCACTTTTTGTATTAACTTGCTCCAAATAATGTCCAGGTGACTTCTGGATCTCCTGCTGATCGTGCTGGATTCCACCCTGGTGATGCTGTCATTGAATTTGATGGAAAGCCAGTTGAATCTGTCAAGAAGGTATTCAACCATTTTTCTTCCTTTCTTTCTGTTTCATGGTTTTACTGGGGGAGAGGTTTTGGCTAGTAGATTTTGCTTGGAAGACCTTTTGCGTCCATGACCTGGTTGCATGGTTCAAATTTACAAAAATTGTGGTACAGAATCAAAATAGACTAAAAACGTAGACATAAAATTATTCTATCAGAATGCATACTTATCGGGAAATCTACATGAACTGTTCGTGCTGAGGTTTTTACCACTGAATCTGTGGCAGATCATTGGGATGATGAGCGACAGAATTGGAAAAGCGATAAAGGTGGTTGTGAAAAGAGCAAATCATGAAATGGCCATTTTGACAGTAATTCCAGAGGAAGCCAATCCAGATATGTGAGATACTACAGTTCTGTTGTTTCAGGTTTTCTGTTGATGTGTATCATATTTATTGCTTATATTATATTTCCATATTTCTGAATCTTTGATTTTTCAGATCTACATTAATGATGAATAAAATCTCCAAGAAGAACCATTGTAAATTATAAACCAAACAAAACCAGTTGGACTAAAAACCTAAAACCACAAAATTTTAAGGTTTTTGCTTTATCATTAGATCAAGGCTTTCTGTCATGTCAAGTAGCTAACCCTTTAATGTATTAAAAAAATTAAATAAGGCTTGACTAGTATTATGATATCATCTTGGACCATTGCTTTATCATTGAAAAGGTTTTTATTGCAATTTCTTGATCTTCTACTGACTGAAGATTAGAAACAAAGAGAGCTAAGTCTTCAGCACAGCTCCTTATCCACCTAACGCACTAGGCCAATTTTACAAAAAAAAAAAAAGACACTGTTGCTGTTTCCCATTTATCAATCGTCAATTGCTCCACATGTGCTTCTGTTGTTTCCCATTCGAAACTACAAGAAACTACCCCTATAACTTCTAGGGGTAGTTAAATGGGTGGTAATTTAGAGTTTGGATGCAAGGAAGGGAGGAAGCT